TGTGTGTGTGTGTGTGTGTGTGTTCATAAGTTCAGTGCTGAACACAGTAATATGGCCAACATAATAAAATATCTGAAGCAATATAATGAACCTTGAAAATCTTAAATATTTAAATATGTAATTATTTACTAGTTCAATATTGATCACAATAATATGGCCAGCATAATAAAATATCTGAAGCCATATAATGAACCTTGAAAATCTTAAATATGTAAACGTCCACAAGTTCAATGTTGAACACAATAATATGACCAGCAGAATAAAACAACTGAAGGAATATAATGAACCTTAAAAATCTGATGTTTATATATTTATGTTCATAAGATCAATGCTGAACACAATAATATGGCCAAAATAATGCAATGACTGAAGGGATATACCCACAATAACAAATTAGATGAATAAAATATGTAGACACTACTAAGTAAAAGTTCCTACCTAGGAAGTAGTTAATAAATTTAATTACAAAATATACACTGAATCCTGACATTGATTCTGCTCCTCGGTGTTTCACACTGAATCAGGTAACCCGAAGATTGGAAGTCAAGTATAAAGTAATGCCACTTCACTCTTACCCACATATAAAAATGAACCATTTGAGTCAGAAAAGAATTACCCACACAATTCTTGATTGAAATCTAATTATTTTCAGATAGAGGGCAGAATGAACTCTGACCATCTTCTGAGAATGATGTTCTAATATACTGGGAAGAAGGAAACAGGTCTCCAAAGCAAGAAAGAGATGGAGTTCAAGATCAAATCCGACTGTAGGTAACAATGTTATCAACAAATTACTCAAAACCAGAGGTTTGAGACAAGAGCATGTGAAGGCATGGTAGTTGGAGTTGCTTGTCACCAGGGTTAGTTTCTGTATCTTAATCTTCTTCCTCTTTGTGGCCCTCTGCCTGGCTGATTCAGTCATCAACCTGTTTGTTCACTTACACCACCAAGGAATGTAAATTCTTGTGAGACATCTCACAATACCATCTACTATTCCTTGGTAGTGAAGTGAACAACCAGTACACCTAATCCACTCCAAGTCAATGGTGCTCTTAATGGCAGCTGTGATATGCTGCAACATGAATTGAATTGCCTACCATCATTTATTATATCACAGTTACAGCATACCAACAGTCTCCACACCAATGTCTCAGAAATATATGAAGACATTGGCTGATAGCAGCACTTCAGATGTCACGCATGTCTTGTGTGCATCACAGCTGACACCACGAAGCACCTGTCTGGCAATCGAACCACTGACATAGGCTACTGAGAACACTTCCAGGTCATCAGCATGTACTGCAGTAACCATGTCCTTCTGTACTTGTTGAGTAACATAGAAACTCAGGAACTTCATCAGGGGCTTCCTTGCCACGACTTGTGGACAGATTTGGTGAAGAAGCATCAGGTGCCCTGAACAATGACTGTAGGTTACACACAACAGTAGCACCATCATCCTCACAACTAGTTCCACACAGACCTCTCATTGCAAGTGCACTGATGATATTAGTCTTCAGGGCATCTACAAACTGTCCCTCGTTGGATTATTGTTCAAACCAGACTACGAACGAATAGCTTCAAATGTGTTCACAAGGTGATCATCAAATAGTTGTTGCCAGGTATTCACCATAGCACCCTCCTGAAAGAACATTAAAAAGGAAATTAGTGGGCTTCCTTACATGATGGACTTCTTCAGATTTGAAAATAACAAACTTTACTTGAATGGGACTGTCATTATAAAGATTTTGTATATTTCATTAAATTATTCCTCAAAGCAGTCGTCACCACCTTATTCTCTTATAAATCATATTACTGATAGTATGATCGGCTTTTCAAACATTTTTAACCTTTATCCTACGGGCATTTAAATTCCGGTTGTGGCAGCCGTACGGAATTATTTAATGGGCCGCTATTAGAAATCCGTAAAAACTGTAGTCACTTACTAAATTTGCTCCTATTTCTGCAATTTCTGTGATAAACGAACGAAATAAACGCTGCTTTTTTTCTCGAAAGAATATAGAATCAGATATTGTAATTTACAGATTGTATAAAACATGTTAAAATTTTTGCACTGACTCCAAAGAAGAAATTTGCCAATTTTTTTCCTTCTCTGCGAGAATTCATACGTTCTGT